TTTACAAAATCATGGATAAGGTAAGGTGAGTGACAAGGGTCTTGTCTTTAGGGTGGGGTGTTCAAATCTAGGTGGCATACTTTTAAGATGAGAGGAAAAAGATTTAAAAAGGACATAGGGGCAACTTTTTAAAATAGAGAATGGTTTGTATGTGAATGAACTGCCAGAGGAAGTGGTGGATGCAGGTACAGTTACGTTTAAAAGACATTTAGATAAGTACATGAATAGGAAATGTTTAGAAGGATACGGGCCAAACACAGGAATGTGGGACTTGATTGGTTTGGGAACATGGTTAGTGCAGACTAGTTGGACCAAAGGATCTGTTTCCATGCTGCATGACTCTATACTTCGTCCATTTATAGCTGATGACCCTTAATTCTGGATTCTCCCACACAGGAAACATCCCTTCCACATGCAAACAGCGAAATCCCCTCAGAATCTTATGCTGCAATTAAGTCACGTCTGACTCTTCTAAACACCAGATGATACAGGCCTAGCCTGCCCAGACTTTCCTCATAAGGCAATCTGCTCATTCCAGGTATTAGTTTAATAAACATTCTCTGAACTGCTTCCAACGCATTAACATCCTGCAATAAATAGAGTGACCAATACTGTACAGAGTTCTCCAGATATGGTCTTACTAATGCCCGTTTAACTGAAGCATAATCTTTCTACTCCTGCATTCAATTCCCCTTGTAATAAACTGCAACATTCTATTAGCTTTCCTGATTACTTGCTGCATCTGCATGCTAAACTTCTTTGATTCATGCACTAAGACACCCAGATTTCTCTGCATCTCAGAGCTCTGCAACCTCTCATCATTTAGATAATATGCTTTTATTATTCTTTCTGCCAAAACGGACAATTTCACACTTTTCCACATTATGCTCCACTTGCCATATCTTTGGCCACTCACTTAACCTGTCTATATCAATTTGTAGACAATAAGGTGCAGGGCTGGATGAACACAGCAGGCCAAGCAGCATTCTGCTCCTATGATGCTGCTTGGCCTGCTGTGTTCATCCAGCCCTGCACCTTGTTGT